GTACTGGGGATTGAACTCAGGATGCTGCGCTTGCCAGGTAAGCGCTTATTCTACTGAGCTATCTCCCCGGCCCCCTCTTTTCTGTATTTTAGGGAAGGGTCTACAGGGTGTTCACTGTCTCACTACTAGATAAGATTCATAGTGATCGGCCTGTTTATAGCCTCCCAAAAGCTGGGATTATAAGCACGTGACACCACACTCAGTCTTAATTGCTGTTTCAGTGTGCCCCGGGGCAGGGCCAGCACTGAAGGCCAGGGGGTTGAAACCCTGGCCCCTGCACCTGCTTGCAGGCACTTTAATCCGCTAAGCTATTTGGCCAGCCCTTATGAATGTCATTCCTTAACCCTAATTTTGTGGGTCCAGCTCACTCTGCCTCTGGGTTTGATGCCCAGGATGAACTCTTTTGTCCAATGAGATGATAGTAAATGAAGCTCAGTTTTGAAAAGGTTTTAAGCATTTGTACTAGATCCCCTGTATATCTGTAAAAATATCCCCAGTAAGCCTGCTGGAGGATGAGATGAAAATGGAACTAAGCCAATCCTAACATCCCAGCTGAGACAATCCAATGGACAGTGAGCGCGCAAACAGGCAAGCGGGAACCCAAGGTCGACAGGGCTGTGAGCCTCACTAACCTGTGATGGCCCACAGAAGACCCGTAGTCAGTGAGGCCATGTCACAAACACGTGAACTACGGAAAAGTGTAATGTTTCATATCGTTTACATTTTACAATTAATACAAAAAAAAATGTTTTCTTAAGAAAAGGATAGTTTCATCAGCATCTCTTTCTTCCCACCCTACTCCTAGCTAGTATTAACTCACTTGGATAAAACTAAAATTTCTCATGGAATTCTAATTGTCTCTAAAACCTGTAGTGAAAAAAAAAAAAGCTTACAGGCAAATAGCATCTACAAATAGGCATCTACAAGCTGATATGATCAAATAGATCGCTACAAATAAATATTTGAGAATCATCTGACACCAAGGGACAATAATATTTTGGCAATACTTTTAGCTTAATCTTTTTCAAACTACAAAACTCAGTTCATCTGTATTATAGGAAGTGACTCAGAAATAGAAATTACCACTGACCAAGGAAAAATGCAAAACAAAATGTCATTCTTGCCTTGTTCTGAGCAACATAGCCTACACTTACCTGCAGCTTCTCTCTATCCTTTCAGTTATCCATCCACAATTCTAATCCCACAATATTGGGTGGAAAATTCCAGAAGTAAGTAACCTATACATTTCTTTTTCTTTTTTTCTTTCTTTTTTTTGTGGGGGGGAGGAGGGTTACTGGCAATTGAACTGAAGTTCTTGTGATTAACAGGCAAGCATCTTGCCACTGAGCTATATCCTCAGCCTGAGTAATTTATAAATAATCCATTTTATTTTCTTCTGATTAACTGGATGAAATCCTTGACAATCTCACCTAGTGCTGGCTGGGACAAGAGGCATCTTCTTATTCAGGATACCCAGGGTGAACCTGCTTCCTGGCAATTATACACTCAGTAACCATGCTTGCTATCAGAATAGCTTTTGCAGTTTGAAGTACTTGTGTTCAATTAATTGATATTTTACCCAAAAATAGTAGTGATGCTGGCATTTCAGATGTGCTAAAGGTAGGTATTATGTTTCTTTTATGCAAAATGTGAGAGTAAAGACTTACTAAGGAAATGACAAAAATCATATGCTGAAATCATAATACCTGGGGTGCACACTTCATTTCCTATTAGTATTGTATCATCTCACATCACAAGAACAAAGGTGAAGGCCCACCAGATAGCTCAGTGGACTAAAGCACCTGCTTAGGCAGAGCTCAGGGGACAGAGTTCCATCCCTGACATGGCTTGCCGGCCCTGGCCCCGGGGTGCCCTCAGACAGCAATTGAGACTGAGCTTGGTGGCGCGTGCCTGTAATCCCAGCACTTAGGAGGCTGCAAATAGGAGAATCACTATGAGTCTGATCTACATAGTGAGACCCTGCACACCCTGTAGACCCTGTACTAAATACATAAAAAAGAACAAAGGCAAGTACGGTATAGTAGTTTAAGAGAGGAAGAGACAATGTCCACACTATATTGTTCTATTTTTTTCTATTTTATTATTAGTCACTAATCTTACTGTGTTGAATTTCTAAACTAAACTTGACCATAGGGATGTATTCACAAAAAAAGAATGCTGAGTTCTGTACTGTGGAAAATTTCAGACAGCCACTGGGGGTCTTAGAATAGCCTCTCGGGATAAAGGCAACCACTGTACAGAGAAATTCTCTATTGCATCAAAGAACATAAGTTCTTTCCAACATCCTACTCTGATGATCCTCTGAATTCATGATTTTGATAAATAGCAGGAATAAAAAGATTGTGTCAAGCAATGTCTATACATAGTTGTTGCCTTGACAATAGAAGTGATATAAATTGTTAATCTAGATGAAACCTCAAAGTTCAAATGGATTCAGTGGTCCCTAATATTCTATGAGTAACAGTATTTTCTGTGAGATTTTAAATTTATATTTTTGTATACCTTGTAACCCAGCTCATCTCAGAGTGAAATGACCTCATGTTACCTGGAAGACTTTCATAGGTAAAACATTGCTTCTGTTTGTGTTTAACAAGTCCACTGATTATAGCAGTCAATTTTGAGAATAGATTGCAGAAAACGCTCATAGTAATGGTCAGGTAAGGTTTATTTGTGTGTGTTTGTGTGTGCGCATGCATGTATGCACACAATCATTGCATGTGTGCACGTATACTTATTGTTATTAGTTTTTTCCAGTTAGCTACAGATAGTACATAGAAGTGATGTTACTCATAGCATGGTCAAAGGTTCAGTGGCCAAGGTATTAGCCTCTAGGACTATGAAAAATGCAGACTCTTAGGCACTGGCCTTGCATTTTCTGTATCAAGGTCTGCATTCTAACACTGTCCTTGAGGGATTTATGTGCAAGATAAAATTTGAGAAGCACTGCTTTGATTATTACTCCATCCTTAATAGAAGGAACAATATATCTGGGATGTTAAACGTGAATTTCTCTGAATAATGAGATGATTTCAGTAGCACAGAAATATTGTACTGTCTACAGTTTCCTCCTTGAGGGATGATAGTGCCAATTAATTTTGTTTAGTCCCTTTTAACAGTAGTTAAGACAATGTGAACAAGAGACTTTGAGAAACAGAGATGGTGTTATATGCCACAGATTGCAATTTTCTGCAAGACATTGTCTGTCATGCAAATAGAGAGTGTTTAAAATATAGTAATGCATGCCAGTGAAGTTTCATGGTGATTATGAAGGAATAGGTACTGTTTGCTTTTTTACTACAGTGTTTCTAGT